TCTCTTATTCTTACAACTTTGTTAACCTTATACCAGCTCAGGACCTTTCATTGAATTATTGATTAATCAATTATCGAACTTCTATATTGTCATTTCAAAATCCTAACCTTCGCCCTTCATTTATGATAATTTATTTCGTAGTTCATCTCTAGCATATCCACCGACCCACACCATCTAGCCAATGGCGTGTTCGTCACAGGGTGCAGATTGACTAACTGCTAGATATTTATCAACCCCTTTTTGTTCGCACTTGAACAATCTGCATCGAGCGACACAGTTCGCTTCTTCTTCTCGCGCCACACGTTCGCCACATGGACCCTGTCTTCAAATCTATGTTTGTCCATTGTCCAAACCAGCACGATATAGCCTACCTCCGATATTTCCCACGGAGGTACGTTAAACAACGTCGCTGATTTTGTCCGGTCCGTCAACATTTCGCGCAGACATGGGTCTTACTTTCAACCCACCGCGAAATCATCGCCTTGCACAAGCTCCCACGACGGTTCAAAAACCTCGTGTCCGAGCAGCTTGTCACTTGTAACGGACAACGCAGTCCTCGTCCCAATTTTTGGCACTGTGCGCGCATACTTTCCGCAAATTAAATATAAGTCCGTCCGACTTCCTCACCTACACACGGGACTTTTCCCCTCGGACTCGCTACACAAGTAACTACATAGATAAGTTAGATTGGCCCAGGGCAAGTCTCCCCTCGCTCTGTTCGCCGAGGTTCTAACAATGTATGTAGTTTTATATTTACCTCAGTCCTGAGCTCACACAATTGTCAACCTCAATCTCATTTCTCGTACTCTACACTTATAGCATAGAAAGCCCATGACAAGTTTCCCCTTGCCATGTCCGCCTGAAAAATATCTTAAAGTGTAGAGTTCCCCAGTCTTAATGATCTTCAGAATTCCATCATATGTATGTGACTCTTCTTCCCCTTGTTCACACTCCTCAATAACATTTCCCTTATAGTACATTAGATGTTGTTGTATATAGCCTTTTATAACCTTGATATTTTCAAAGATTTCCTTAAATGTCAAACTCCCCGGTGTTGTAAAACTGCTTGTAAATAATATTTACTTGTGTACTATATAATATTTTATTTACATAAAACTATGTCACCATTACCTTAACTAATTTTAACTGTAAATTATTTTCTCTATTCCTGGCTTCTCCAGCTTTAAATATACTTAAACCATGTTCAGCCTTCTTCAACGGGGGCCATATGTCATAATATATGCTCTTCCAGGATTAATAAAACAAATCTACAGTCGACCAGAGAGAGAGAGAACGCAGCTAAGGCCGGTCACTTGATATAGCAGTCACATTCCAAGGGGGCGACCGCAGGGCCTTTTCTTGGAACCTGAGTTCTATGTTTACTCAGTCGGGGGGGGTGGTGGCGACAAGACGTGCATTTCGGCGGTGGCAGCCCGCTAGCGCTTCCTCTCTCCCTCGGTTTGCTGGGTTCCATCTTCCAAACTTGTTGTTTCCTTATTTCTCACTCACCACATTATTATCACTATAGTGCCACATCGAAAGTCGACAGGATCATATCACACACATATATATATATATATATTCAAATGTTAGTCACAAAGTGTGTTTTTTTCGAAAATATTTTATATATCGTGTGTGTGTGTGAAGGAAGATATCGCGTGGTTAATCAAAACATTTCAAAATAAGGAAAGACCCTGACGAAGATTCGATCCAAAAAATGCCTTTTGATTAATATATGTGTTTGTAAGGAAAGGGGACAGTCGTTGTCACCGAAATGTTGCAGCACAAAGGGCAAAAAAAAAAAGAGTTGACGCAAGACTTCAAATTAAAACATGTGTGAAACTGACAAAAGGGAAAAGCGAGACTCTGGCTGGATGTGTCCACTCACTGTCACAGGAACTTTATATAAACTGTCCTTCTCCCAAGATGGCGGTTTTTATAGGGGGTTCATGATGAGAAATAGTACCTGTCTTGACCAATTAGCTCTTTCTGGAAGATTCTATATTGGTCAATGACACCTTGAATTTAGATTTTAGATTCCCATTTTTCCCTTTGTCAGCCACCTGTCATTCCTTATTGAATTTACATGCGGTACATATTTTCTACATTTCATATTTGGTTATTATTTTAAATTTATTGTATAGGTACACACACTTATTGAGAATTGACATCGGGATTTATTATTATTCAATAAATTATCATTATATATATATTTGAGGGAACACCCTAATTGACCTTCTACCCCTTTTTATATTTATATTCTTCGATTTTAGATATGAACAAATTGGTTGAAAAATGATAACAGAGAGTAAAACTCTATAAAGAAATATTTATGGGCCATTTCAATATCGTCGTGAAAATTTCACTGAAAATAGTAAGAGAGACTGAATTAGTAATATTAAAATTAGTAATCAGTCAAACATCACTTCCAGCACACACCTATCTAACTAGGTGAATATTCTAATGAAGATAATTTGTATTCAGAAAAAAAGTATCAGTAGTATAAAATTCTCCAAGCAAGAGTCGCCCCACGGGGAACTGGGTCATTAATCAAAGAGAGACTTCCCCTCCTCCCCAGAAAATTAAATAATTCCCTCCCCCCTCCATAATCTCTCATTTGTTAGCCTCCAGATGGGCCCTAAACTTTGTTAATTACTTCTCTAATTGGCCAAATTAACTAGGCCTCGTCATAATTGGCCAGACTTGTTCTCTCGCACTTGATCTCCCACTGCCTATATGGATTATCTTTCTTCAATCTCGCCACCCCAGTCTCTTACAAACCTCTAGGTTCCCTATCGAATATACCCGTATTCAAGACCCAGGTCTAACATTCCCGTATTAGGCTAATGGTGAACTAAGGCATTTCATACCTTTCTTTTATTCTCCTCTGTTTGAGAAAGAATCATTCCTATCATTTATTGGGTCGGGGAGAAAATAATTGCCGGTAATGCAAACTTCGTGCCTTGATTATTGCATAAAGTGTTATTTTAATATTTACAGGTAACATATATCATTATGAAGCACGTTTTCGCACTGTCATATCTAATAATATTTATATTTATAATACATTTTGCGCGATATCAGACTGATGTTAAAAATGCTTTCAAAACAGGAAATCCGAATAACTTTGCTTCTTGAGTTCAAACTCGGCCGCAGAGCTGTTGAAACAACTCTAAATATAATCAGCGCGTGGGGCAAGGGTTCCATTTAAGAACGTAATACGCACAGGTGGTTCGAAAATGTTCGCAATGGCGATACTAGGCTTGGAGATGGGCCGTGGACGTCCATCGGTGGTTGACGACGACCATTTGGAGTCAATATTCGAGGCGGACACAAACAAAACTACAAAGAAGTAGCTTAAGAGCTCAACGTTGACCACTATATAGGAGTGCGTCATTTGAAACAAATAGGAATGATGAAAAATCTCGACAAATTGAAACCATACGAATTGAGTGAAAACCAGAAAAATCTCCATTTTGAAGTGTCTTCGGCGCTACTTCTACGAAACAAGAATGAGCCTTTTCTCCTCCGTATTGTCACCTGCGATTGGATCCTCTATGACAAACGGCGACGTTCAACCCAATGGTTGAACCGTGATGCAGCTCCGAAACACATCCCAAGCCCCAAATCGCACCAAAAGAAGATTATGTTGATTGTTTGGTAGTCTTGAGTAGGTTTGATTCATTACAGCTTCTTGAATCCTGATGAAATAATCACAATGATGAAGTATTGTCAGCAAATCGACGAAATGCACAAAAAATTCGCCTGATCTTCCCTGGAATTATCAACAGAAAAGGGCCTATCCTTCTCCACGTCAACGACTACGGCACAGACCCTACGTCTCAATGATCACGCGACAAAAGCTGAATGAGCTAGGCTATGAAGCAATTGATCATCCACCATACTCACCAGACCTCTCACATACCGATTATCCCTTTTCTAGGCACCTCACCGTCTTCCTGGTAGTAAAATCCTTTAGAATTCAAGGCGATGCCGGAACAATCTTTAATGATTCGATTGCCTCTAGAACTCCAGATTTCTATCAAAATGGAATACACATACACATTTATAATCATGTTAGATTCCAATGGTTTTTAATTTGATTGATAAGGTCTTCTCTCTCTGAAGCGAATTATTGCTTTTTAAAGTTACCGTCAAAAACGGCAATCATTTTTTCACAAATCTAATAGATAGAAGTTTTATCAGTAAAATAATTTCATCATTAGAAAAAGCACAATTTAACAAATTCATGTCGTAGATGAGCCACTGCTAACCTGAAGTGAGCCTTACAGAAACAAATAGACCATAACCTGATGTGAAGCTCTATTGAAGCAAATAGACAATGACATGTAATTAAGCAAGGTAGAAACAAATAGACCATGAAATGTAATGAAGCCAGGTAGAAACAAATAGACCATGACATGTAATGAACCAGGTAGAAACAAATAGACCATAACCTGAGTGAAGTTATATAGAAAAAAATATACCATAGCCTGAAGTGAAGCTATTCAGAAAGAAATAGAACATAACCTGAAGTGAAGCTATATAGAAACAAATAGACCAATAACCTGAAGTGAAGCTATATAGAAACAAATAGGCATATATATATATAAATATATATATATATATATATATATATATATATATATACTTATATATTTGCCTTATTCTGTTTGTTTGTTTGTCTGAAGCTCACGGGTGGGAATTTTCATAACCATCGCTGGTTCAGTGGTAGAATGCTCGCCTGCCACGCGGGCGGCCCGGGTTCGATTCCCGGCCGATGCATTTTTTTTTTTTTTTTTACAATTTTTAAAACTTATTTATATATTATACAAGAATGACATCCACGACGCCAATTTATAATTGTAACGAATAGTATTTGAATAAAAGCATTTAATCGGGTAAAACCCGGGCGTTGCCCGGGTCATTCGTATCTACTTATATATTTGCCTTATTCTGTCTGTTTGTTTGTCTGAAGCTCACGGATGGGAATATTCATAACAATCGATGGTTCAGTGGTAGAATGCTCGCCTGCCACACGGGCGGCCCGGGTTAGATTCCCGGCCGATGCATTTTTTTTTTTTTTTTTACAATTTTCAAAACTCATTTATATATTATACAAGAATGACATCCACGGCGCCAATTTATAATTGTAACGAATAGTATTTGAATAAAAGCATTTAATCGGGTAAAACCCGGGCGTTGCCCGGGTCATTCGAATATAATAATTGTATAAACGAATGCAAGACAAAATCACCGCGAATGTTTCTTTTTTTAAGGCAATTTCTTTTTAAGGCAATTATCGTTATTTATCTTTAATTTTTTTTCGATTTTATTGAAAAAAAAAAAACGATATGGTGCCTTTAAAAAATGATCTTTATTACTATGCAGTTTTCAATTTAGTCAATATACCTAAGTTCATGTTGCAAATGTAATTATCTCTATCGATTTAGTAGGTGAAATGCAAAAAAAAAAATCGACATGATGAAATCTTTATGAAAATTCACATTTTTATTTTTATATTTTCAAGACACACACAGTTTGGGGCGGGACGTTTCACAAGAGAGACATCCACGGCGCCAATTTATAATTGTAACGAATAGTATTTTAATTAAAACATTTTAAAAACACACAGTTTGGAACGGGACGTTTCACAAGAGTGACATCCATGGCGCCAATTTATAATTGTAACGAATAGTATTTGAATTAAAACGTTTTTAAAATATATACGCACTCGGGTAAAACCCGGGCGTTGCCCGGGCCATTCGTCTAGTATATATATATAGACCATTAACCTGAAGTGAGGCCATACAGAAACAAATAAACCAATAACCTGAAGTGAAGCTATATAGGAAAAATAGACCAATAACCTGAAGTGAAGCTATAGAAACAAATAGACCATGACATGTAATGAATCCAGGTAGAAACAAATAGACCATATACTGAAGTGAAGCTATAAAGAAACAAATAGACATAACTTGAAATGAGGTCAATTAGAAACAAATAGACATAACTTGAAATGAGGTCAATTAGAAACAAATAGACCAATAACCTGAAGTGAAGCTATATAGAAACAAATAGACCAATTACCTGAAGTGAAGCTATATAGGAAAAATAGACCAATAACCTGAAGTGAAGCTATATAGAAACGAATAGGCCAATAACCTGAAGTGAAGCTATATAGAAACAAATAGACCAATAACCTGAAGTGAAGCTATATAGAAACAAATAGATCAATAACCTGAAGTGAAGCTATATAGAAACAAATAGACCAATTACCTGAAGTGAAGCTATATAGGAAAAATAGACCAATAACCTGAAGTGAAGCTATATAGAAACAAATAGACCAATAACCTGAAGTGAAGCTATATAGAAACAAATAGACCAATAACCTGAAGTGAAGCTATATAGAAACAAATAGACCAATTACCTGAAGTGAGGTCATATAGAAACAAATAGACCAATAACCTGAAGTGAAGCTATATAGGAAAAATAGACCAATGACCTGAAGTGAAGCTATAGAAACAAATAAACCATGACATGTAATGAATCCAGGTAGAAACAAATAGACCATATACTTAAGTGAAGCTATAAAGAAACAAATAGACATAACTTGAAATGAGGTCAATTAGAAACAAATAGACCAATAACCTGAAGTGAAGCTATATAGAAACAAATAGACCAATTACCTGAAGTGAAGCTTAATAGGAAAAATAGACCAATAACCTGAAGTGAATCTATATAGAAACAAATAGAACAATAACCTGAAGTGAAGCTATATAAAAACAAATAGACCAATAACCTGAAGTGAAGCTATATAGGGAAAATAGACCAATAACCTGAAGTGAAGCTATATAGAAAAAAATAGATCAATAACCTGAAGTGAAGCTATATAGGAAAAATAGACCAATAACCTGAAGTGAAGCTATATAGAAACAAATAGACCAATTACCTGAAGTGAAGCTATATAGGAAAAATAGACCAATAACCTGAAGTGAAGCTATATAGAAACAAATAGACCAATAACCTGAAGTGAAGCTATATAGAAACAAATAGACCAATTACCTGAAGTGAGGCCATATAGAAACAAATAGACCAATAACCTGAAGTGAAGCTATAAAGAAACAAATAGACATAACTTGAAATGACGTCAATTAGAAACAAATAGACCATAACCTAAAGTGAAGCTATATAGAAACAAATAGACCGTAATCTGAAGTGACGCCATATAGAAACAAATGGACCATAACCTAAACTGAAGCCATATAGAACCATAACCTAGAAAGAGAAAGAGGTCATATATGAACAAATAACACCTCCATAATATGAATAGGATGGGAATAGTTTAAAATCTGTTCTATAAATATTAGGTCTTAGAAAAATATAATCATATAAATCAACTAAAATAAATAATTATTTAGAATATCTTGCTTATATATAAAATTACATAAAATTCGAATTGAAAATATACTAAAAATTTATTTTATACTAATATCCATTTTAAAAATTTCTCAAAGAATAATATAAAATAATATAGAAAATTTAACAAGTTCTGTAGACGCTATCTAAAATGCCGTGGACTGGAATTACATTAAGAATTGAAATTTCTAGCTTTAATTAGTATATTTGTACCACTGGGTTAGTGGTTGTAATTCTAAAGATATATTGGACTTTTGATAATATGTATGTAAATAGTCTTTTTTCTTGTATATTATATATATAATTTATTGCTCTAAAATGTAAATTTAAATAACTTTCACTCTCCCTCTCTCTCTCTCTCTCTCTAAAACTATAAATAATTTGTATATATATTTAAAAACTAGGTACATAAAATAGATTAAACATTTACATGCAAATATCTAGATAGGATATAGCGTGTGTTTTGTAATAAATAAACAAATAATTATAAAATCAGAAACTAGGAAATACTTGTTTACGCGTATACGTCTACCTATTTATATGCAAATATATATCTATATATACATATATTCCAATATTTCTTTATATTTTTCTCATATATATTCATTATCGTATAAAAAAAAACTTCCAACGCGCATTTTATGAAATTTTGGAAATATATTTGAAAAGTTTCTTACTACAGAGGAGAAAAAGTCAAATTAAATTTAGACAACAACACGGTCAAATATCTATATTTCCCTAAATCACAGATAGAAGAAAAATACTTCTTTAATATTAAAATACATTTTTTATCAAATTTAATCTGCTAACCAGAATTTCTTGGATTCACTGAAAATAAGAAGAAAGAGAAAGAAATAGAAATATTCGGTATAAAATATAAAGTTGAAACAACTTGTATATAAAAAAGATGTATTATTTTGATATATATAATAAATATCAAATCCAATTATATATATATATATATACGTTTTTTCCATCTTTTATCATCATTATAATTGCTATATAGTTAGGTTCGGTAGGAATTTGGCGTTTGGATTGAGTTGTTTGCTTTAATATTCAAACACCGTTATTGTCGCACATAGTTTTATCCCGCTTATTGCGTTATAGGGAAGAATATCTCAGAATCATCTGGTGATAGCGAAGTTTTATTCCACACATTGACAATTGAAATAATTTTATTGAAACCTAGTCAACAGCAAAATAAGAGTTTGAAATTAGAATTAAATAAAAAAATATATTTACAACAAACAAAGCCATCTCCGAAGGGACGTCTGGATCCTATCTGGAGCTACAAGCCGCCTTGAGTTCGGCCAAGCTCTTGCAAGCTACAGAGTTCTTGTTCCCAACATGCTCAATGGCAATGTTGAGGAATTCGGAGAGAATTATCTTGTTTCCAGGCGAGAGTTCCTCGAGAAGTAACTTCCTATTCCACACATTGGTTGTATAATATTTGATCGAGGTAACTTCCATTTACGCAACGTCTATTAAGAGTTCATACTAGAAATCTGAAATATGGTCTGGTGGACTAATTTGGCAGTAAAAAGTTTGTTCATTTTTTTAAAAGGAAAAATTCATGCTTAATAATTTTATTTCTTAAATATAGATGACTCGTTATTATCTTATATAATTACTTCCAATCTGTACTTTGAACGTCGTATGTAGCCACATTTATGGGTGTTGGCGAAATATTGAAGAATATTATGTAAACTATGGAAATATTTATATTTATTAAGGCATTTTTCTTTCAAAATATGTGAAAAAGGACATATTATATAACATGTGATCAATAGTTTCTAGAAATGAGAATGGATAACGTAAAATATTAAAAATAACGAAATAATTTCATAAGGACCTTATAGATAAAACATTTATCAACACGTAGAAAAATATTGATCACACAGACGCAAGCGCTCACGTTTTTTCGAATTTATAAGCTCGAGTATATCAGAGCTTTTTCTAACTTCAGCATGGACTGTATTGAAAAACAGTGAGTCTGCATAGAGTTTTGCTTTAAATTAGGGAAAACAGCTTCCGAACATTTCAAATGTTGAAGCAGGCTTTTAAAGAAGATGCCCTATTACAATCGAGGACATTTGAATGGTTTGCCAGATTTAAAGTTGGTCGAACAAGCGTCAAGGATGATCAACACACGGGCAGACCTTTATCGATAAGAAACCCCGAAAATGCACTCAAAATCAAGTCAACGATCAAAGAAAAATCTAGTATACTATCAGAGAGCTATCAGAAGACTTGGATATCTCTTTTGGAACATGCCAAACCATCATAAAGAATGATCTGCATCCTAAACGATCCCCGGCTAAATTTGTCCCACATCGCTTAACGAATGATCAGAAAGAGCATCGCAAAGAAACGTGCAAAAACATGGTCGAAATGTTTAATTCTGATCCCCATTGGCTCAAAATTGTTATCACGTGAGATAAAACATGGGTGTACGGATATGATTCCGAAACTAAGAGGCAATCAAGCAAGTGGCTAGAGCCTGGAGAACCAAGATTCAAGAAAGCAAGGATGATCAAATCGAAGTTTAAGTGTCTTCTTATTACTTTCTTTGATGTAAAGGGATTAGTACACTATGAATTCGTGCCCGAGGGTCAGACCATTAATCAACATTACTATCTTGATGTATTGCGAC